CTATACACAATGGAATTTTATGCAGCCATGAAGAAGAACGAAATGTTATCATTCGCTGGTAAATGGATGGAATTGGAGAACATCATTCTGAGTGAGGTTAGCCTGGCCAAAAGACCAAAAATCGTATGTTCTCCCTCATATGTGGACATTAGATCAAGGGCAAACACAACAAGGGATTGGACTTGAGCACATGATAAAAGCGAGAGCACACAAGGGAGGGATGAGGATAGGTAAGACACCTAAAAAACTAGCTAGCATTTGTTGCCCTTAACGCAGAGAAACTAAAGCAGATACCTTAAAGCAACTGAGGCCAATAGGAAAAGGGGAACAGGTACTAGAGAAAAGGTTAGATCAAAAAGAATTAACCTAGAAGGTAACACCCACGCACAGGAAATCAATGTGAGTTAATGCCCTGTATAGCTATCCTTATCTCAACCAGCAAAAACCCTTGTTCCTTCCTATTATTGTTTATACTCTCTCTACAACAAAATTAGAAATAAGGGCAAAATAGTTTCTGCTGGGTATTGAGGGGGGGGAGAGGGAGGGGGCGGAGTGGGTGGTAAGGGAGGGGGTGGGGCAGTGGGGAGAAATGAACCAATCCTTGTATGCACATATGAATAATAAAAGAAAAATGAAAAAAATAAAAAATAAAAAAAAAGCATTTTTTAAATATCACATATGCTGATCTGTCCAGAGCATGCACACTGCTACATCAATGTACATAAATTGTAGTATGCAATATCGTACATAAAACATTATCCACAATGCCCACTCTGCTTTCCTGAAGTTGTGAAAAGTGTGCAAAACTTCTACATCCTTCAGCAGCAACTACAAGTACATGGCACTCCCTGGGCTTCCCATCCAAGCGTCTCACAAGATCTTTCTTCTCTTTTTCCCTAATCCTCAGAGTCTGAGGTAATGAGGACTCAAGGGCCCAATCATGGCACCTCAGATGCATAAAATCATAGATTTAAATATGTACCCTCCACTCTTTCCATACTTTCCATGGCTTCTAGTTTTAATTTTCTTCTTCCTTTCTCTAAGATCTGCAGTCTCTGGACACAGCCTTGGTATGTGATGAGTCAATACAATAGGCAGGTATTTGGTACTTAGATGTGGAGCCAAGAAGACACCTCAGAAGACCCAACTTGAGCTTTGTTCAGGCTTCGGGGGAAAGGGGCTTTGACCACAAAAAGCCTGCAGGGATGATTGCTGGAGATGCCAGCTGCCGCAATCAGGTCTTCCCGACCTCACAGGATCCCAGATCTGATCATAGCACTAACTCAGAAAGATATCAGCTTTCTCATATCCATTCACTGCCTTAGTTTCCTTCCCAGAGAGTTTTCTCCTGTGTGGTAGCAACAGAGTACTGAGACACAGGAAGACAAACAAGCTAGGTGGATAAAATTGAGGAGTTGAAAGGACATAGACTCAGTTATCACAGGTTCAGCATCTAGCACTTAGTCTCAGGCACAAAGTTAGTAGACTTATGAGTTATTTCCAAGAAGCAAACAAATAGATGGGTAGGGAGCTATCTGACCCTTTGGAAGAAAAAAAGCTTTTCTGTGACATGAAAAGATATTTCCCTGAGTGACCAGAGTATGAATAATAGAATCACAAGGGTCACTGAGCTTGCTGAACTTCCTTCAGAAAGTCTCTAAGCAGAGCAACTGGACAGAACGGCCATAGGTTAAACCTCCTTCCCTGCCCCACCCTACTCTAGGCCATTGCTTAAATACTAGTCAGGAGTAGTGAAATCTTCCAACCTTTCATTAAGAAGGACTTACAATAACTATCTTACAAAGATCTCTAGGTTCAGCAGGCTAAAGGAGCTTATTCCCAAGCAGATTCTGATTTCATTATTCTGCATTTCCTAAAGGAGCTCATTCCCAAGCAGATTCCAACTTCATTATTCTGCATTTCCATTTATATCTATGTCCTCCAACCTATCCTCTCTCTGATTCCTATTCTGCCCTATCCCTTACATCAAGAAACACAACTTCTAATTCCAAAGAGAGTCTCTTCAGCTTATCACTATCAGAAAGTAAACACCTAAAACTTTTGATATGTCTTTGTATAATTTCTTATTTAAATTCCACCCATTTCAAGCTGTGTTAACTTCCTGGATTTGTTAACATTTATTTTTCAACTTTCAGTATGAGTTTTGAAACTCTATAAATTTAAATTTTAATTCCAGCTCCCTTGCTGGTTGACTATATGACTTTAGGCACACTCCAAATTCCTGAAGTTTCCTTTTTCCCACTTGCAAATTGAGATAATAACACTACATTGCAAGGTTTTTCTAAGATCTTAATGTTATTACTTTTGTACTATTCCTGGTACAGTGACAGACAAAGTAGATATTCTTCAGGAATTATGTTTCTTTTTTCTTCAATATTCTGCTTCATTTTAATGTCCAAAATATCTTCTGCATTCAGAAGATATTAACCACTATGTAGCTTCTCTGTCTCTGACAGGAAAGTTTACCACAGCTTTTCTGAGTTCACTTTGACGAATGTGTGGTAACTATTGATGCTGGAACAGCAGAAGCTGGGGAACACAGCACAAGAGCCAAAGAGACCTAGTGAACAGTGAGTGAAAAATAATGGTTCTTAATGTCTGTGATAATGAGATGAGGAGACAAATGTGTATATACTTATGTGTATTTCTCAAAATTGTTTTCAGTACTTGGGATAAGAGCCAGGACCCCATTCATACATGACAAGCATTCTAAACCTGAACCACATCTTCCAAAACCAGTGTATAACTAGACTCAGTATTTCTAAAGGCTTATTAAGCCTTTGATTTTGTGCTAACTGCTAACATTTGTCACCAAATTATCATTTGTTATAAGAAGAATGTGTCTGGGCTATTTAGAGACCAGATTCAAAGTGGTTGGCTGAATTCCCTTTGTGTCAATATGAAATCTCTCTGATCTTAGAAATGCTAATTTTCTCTAAGTCTTTCCTCACCTATAACATGGCAGTGTTTATAGAAAATCATTCAGGGGATTTTTTAAGGAGATAAAACATGTACTGTTATTAAGACTTAACTAAATAAAATTTAACCCTTATTCATGAAAGAAATAAGCATGTGTCTTACACCAAGGAATTTTTACCCACTGGCTTGACAAAGCAAATCCCTTTCCTCCTTGCATTCACATTCTAGAAGGATTATCAAGTGGGGAGTGGAGAGATCACTGCTCTGGAAGTCAAGAAGCTTCAATTGCATCTAACCTTTGCCCAATTATTGGACTCCAGAGCCTTTATTTCTTCATCTAAATAAGAACATACCCTATTGCCCTTTATTCCATGGACTCAATTTGTGATAGAAGGTGAGGCCATGACTGATGGTGCTTTAGTCTCTTCTGCCACCTAAGTTCCCAAAGTTGGAATCCTAGAATTCTAGGGAATGCCAGCTAATCGACTGAGAGGAGAAATCAAGGTTTTGATTTCTTACTATGTGTGTTAGGAGTAGCTTCAAAGACAGCTACCACATACCCTCCAGTTCTCTCTTGAGTTACCTGACTTGAGAGCATTTATGAGATATATGGAGCAGGCAAGTTTTCTTTTTCAGGAAGACCAGAAGGAGAGCTAAGTGAAGGACTGGTACTTGTCTAGGTTAGGTATTTTACATAACTAGTGAGCTTAACATAGAAAAGAGAGAGAAAAACAGTTCAAAGAATAGGAAAGGAAGCCAGGTAACACAGGTAAGAAAAGAAGCATTGGAACATTGGTGAGGAACCTGCAGAAAAAAGGTCTGAAGAGTGTTCAATGAAGGGTCTATTCACAAGAGACAGGCAAAGTTAAAATATCCAAGAGGATCGTGAATATGCTTTTGCTTCTTACCCTTGTTGGAGGGGCTTCTCTGAGAGTTCTTATCTTTGCTGTGTTTAGGAATAAGCTCATGAGACACAAAGAGTGCATACACAGGTGGATTTAATAAGGATAGAAAAGGCTGCAGCTCAAGTAGTGCAGGGGAGCCCAGAAACCGGTAGCTCCCTGCAATAACAGCTGAGGAGCTCTTTCATCTTCTATCAGAAGAAGGAGATAAAGGTTTTCTTCTTCCCCCATCTACATAGTCAGCACCCATTAGCAGCCTTTTGGTGGCAACAGATCAGCACCCATCGGCAGCCTGTGGTGGCAATATCCCATTTTTCACCCCAGTGCTCCTTTCTGGGGCCCACTTGTGAAACAGCTCCACTGGTTTCGGGAACTGAAACAGCTGCTGCTCAGGATACAGAGATCAGAACTGAACTAAGTCCTTGAACTAAGTCCTTTGTTCTTATGCTGCTGAGACCCAACACCCTGTAGGAACAAACAGAGAAACTACTGGAATTCTGTGGAAGAAAAATCCCTGACAAGAGCTGTAACCTTTAATGGTGGAACACAGCAACTGTGAACCCACAGTGACTGTGGAAATCTGAGCTTTCTTTCTTCCAAGATCCTCTCTTAGGTATTTCCCATTGATAGAGCCTAGTAAGAATTCCAAAGCTAGGCATGGTGGCACACTGCTGCAGATGTAGCTACTCAGGAGACTGAGGCAGGAAGATCGGCTGATACCATGAGTTTGAGACCAGCCTGGGAAACATAGCAAGGTCTTGTCTCAAAATAAACAAGAATAAATAAATAAACAAGCAAACACACTTATGCGGACAGGGGGCTGATACAGAGGCCAGAGCAGAGGAGCTCACTTAGAATTTTCAACTCACCTAGTTTAGCTTTTAAAAATTTACACAATCTCAGCAAGTCACTTTGCAATTCCCTGTGTTTTTTACACACTGAAATTATAAAGCTACAATTATTTTTATCATATATATGTTGAGGAAAAGCCAGGTACAAGACAAAGAACTTGTTGGAGTTTCTGCACAGTTTCTAGGTCTATTTGATTCTAATCTTTACATTTTTTGTTTTCTTTTCTTCAGTTTTTGCCAGGTACAATCACTAGCACTTCCAGAATTCATTTCAAGATTTTGGAGGGAATCCAACTCATCACTTCCCCCTATTTAAAATGATTCTGGGATCCCTAGAAAATGGCAGCAGCCTGTCCTCTACCTTCCTGCTGAGTGGCATCCCTGGCCTTAAGCACTTGCACATCTGGATCTCCCTCCCACTGTGTTTCATGTACCTGGTTTCCATCCTGGGCAACTGCACAATTCTTTTTATCATTAAAACAGAGACCTCACTCCATGAGCCTATGTACCTCTTCTTGTCCATGCTGGCTCTGACTGACCTGGGGCTGTCCCTTTGCACACTCCCTACAGTGCTGGGCATCTTCTGGGTGGGGGCACGGGATATTGGTCATGATGCTTGTTTTGCCCAGCTCTTTTTCATTCACTGCTTGTCCTTCCTGGAGTCCTCTGTGTTACTATCTATGGCCTTTGACCGCTTTGTGGCCATTTGCCATCCCTTGCATTATGCTTCCATTCTTACCAACACAGTCATTGGCAGAATTGGTATGGCTTCTCTGGGCCGAAGTGTAGCATTTATTTTCCCATTGCCGTTTATGCTCAAAAGCTTCCCATATTGTGGTTCACCAGTCCTCTCACATTCCTACTGTCTCCACCAAGAAGTGATGAAACTGGCCTGTGCAGACATCAAGGCCAACAGCATCTATGGTATGTTTGTCATTGTTTCCACAGTGGGTATAGACTCACTGCTCATCCTCTTGTCCTATGCCCTGATCCTGCACACTGTGCTGTCCATCGCCTCAAGGGCTGAGAGACTCAAAGCTCTTAACACATGTGTTTCCCATATTTGTGCTGTGCTCCTCTTCTACACTCCCATGATTGGCTTGTCCATCATCCACCGCTTTGGGAAGCAGGCACCCCATCTGGTGCAGGTGATCATGGGTTTCGTGTATCTTCTGTTCCCTCCTGTGATGAACCCCATTGTCTATAGTGTGAAAACCAAACAGATCCGAGATCGGGTGACACATGCCTTTTGTTACTAACTATGTCAAGTCTTAGAGGCATTTTCTCCTTCGATGTGCCCTTACTTCTCTATCTTTATAACATCTTACATGCATGAAATAGAGGAGATACTTGTTTACTCAACATATATATACTAGGGTGAACAAATTTCAGCTTTCACAGAATTCTTAGTATATAAATTTGGATATGGAGCAATACAATGTAGTATGGTAGAAGTAAATTATAGTTTCCAGAAACATCTGCAGAAATAGTTCTAATTCCACTTTTTCTTCCAGAAACTTTCCATTCAACATCAATAGATAGAATCTATATTTTTTTCCTTTTATTCATGAGTAGGGTTGTGTAACTGCCTCAATAAACTGAATGTTGTAGAAGTGACCCAGTGAGTCTTCCAAGGTTAGATTATAAAAGATTATGTTTTTCATTGATGCTTCTCTCTGTCTGTTTCTCTCTCTCTTTCTCTCTTTCTCTCTCTCTCTCTGCTTCCCTCTCTTTCTTTATCCACTGATAAATGATAGATCAATAGACAGCTAGATAGATCCCATCTGAATTTCTATCTGTCTAAATGCTTGCTTTTGGAACCCAGCCACCATACTGAAAGGAAACCTAGACCACATGTGAGACCAGATACAGATGTTCCATCCAGTAGGCCCAACTAAGATCTAGGCATTAGCTGATTCAGCATCAATCCCCAGTGAGTGAACAAACCTTCCATCCCCCATCTTTTCAGCCTTTCCAGCAGAGCTCTGTGAAACAATTAATCCTACTCAATGCAGATATACAAACAAAAAATTTTAAAGCACTAAATTTTAGGATAAGCTGTTTTATGATCCTATGTTAATTATATTGTTCAAAGAAAAAGTAGTTGAAATGGTAGCAGAAAAGAGGAATCTCTTCTTTCAGGTGAGAGAAAGTACCTCTGAGGTAACACAGCAGACAAAAGGTACAGAAGTTAGGCAGTCAAAGATTGTAGGAGGGAGGAGACAAAAATGTGTCAAATCTAAAGGAACAACAAGTGCAAAGCTGAGGCAGAGATGAGTGAGGGAAAAGTGAATTCAGGGAATTATCTGAAGTGTTGTTTTAGTTATTGTTGCTCTTCCCTGTATGTCTGGGAAGGACTAAGAACAATGGTGGGTAAGTGCAATGACATTTGCATACTGGTACTACTGAAAAGTTCATGTTACATCCTCCTAAATGTGCATTATTAGTGTACCTCTAAATTGCTGCAGATAAAGTTATTTTTGAGAAATACATGTTAGTGCAGTATTTATGGTTTTTGCTTGGAAATACTTGTTGGGAAAACAGGTCTAGATAAGATGCTCTCAAGGAAAGCTTTAAGCTTTTCAGTTATAGTGTAGCATCAAAACAGGGAATGGCTAAAAACAAAGTTGCCTACCATAAGGTTTATTTGGAGTCAGGTCTCACTTGTGATTGGTCTCAATCAAGGCTATCAAATACACCTGACATTTCTCTCAGACATGACACCCTGCCTTTCACCAGCAGTGGTTCATCCTGTCTTGCAGGAGAAAACTACTTCTCTAATGACATGTTTGGCAAACATTGAGTATCATGTGGAAGATTTAGGATCATCAATACACAGCAAATAAAATAGAGTATTTTTGTGTCATGGTGGTTTATATCTATGTGTCTATGTACCCACAGAGCTTCACAAAAGACATGAAGCCACTGAAAATTCTGAGACATACCTACAATTCCTCAGCTTGACTTTAAATTTATGACATTTACTTATAATTTAAATACTAATAGGTGAATTATATTCTCTTATGTCTTAGAATGAATTAAGAATTATTTTGGATATCCTAGAAAGTACACTAAACTTGAAGTCAGTTTTACAAAGTTCTACTTTCTGTGTTAATTATGGCAGCTTGTCTGATCTAATTGTGTTGACCTCCTGGGAGTCCAATTTTCTGTTAAAGTTGATCTAGCAATGTCTGTCTAACAAGGCTGTCTACATAATTTAAATACATGATGTATAAGAAATTCTTACATACATTTTGGCTCACAATAAACTGGTGACTTTCATTTCTAAAATAAGACATAGTCAATCAGAATAAAATGTACTCCCAAAGAAACTGTGATAAATAAATAAGGAAGCCCAGAAACAACAATGAGGAAAAGGAGGAGCAGGGCTGGTTTTCTAGAGGGATTGCTTTCGCTGAGAGTCAAAGTACAATCAAAAGGTAGTTTGGCCAAAAGAGCTGCTGCTTGTTCACTATCTTTCTGTCATAGTTAGTCATACACTCTAGGAATATAATGGACAAAGGATAACAAAGGGTTGTGCTCCTGAATTACCCTGTTGTTGACAGAATGGATTAGAAAAGTAAAGGATTAAATATTTCAGACAGTGCTCTGAAGGAACAAACTGGGGTAAGAAATGGAGAATTGAGACAGACTGAGATATGTGTGGGGACAAAAAACAGATGCAGGTCTGAAGCCTTAGCTGAAAACCTGTCACCCAGTAAAAATGTAGTGTATATATATTCTCCATCCCTCACTCTTCTAATCTTATCAGCCTCAAGCCCAGGTACACTATTAAAGTCAGGATGCCTTTTCCACAAAGTCCTAAAAATTAAACTGGATGACAGAAAAAAACTATTAGAGTTCCAAAAATGGAAGATAAACTCCTGGGCCTTTAAACCTAGACCTTGTTAAAAGATAAATATGTTTTCTGCCACCTCCATCTATGTATTCTATTAACAGCTAGAGTAGCCCATCCTATCAGAAGACCAGGCTGCTTAAACAGGATGGGATGCAAACAAAAGAAATGCAACAGCTCCTGGGGTAAGCTAATTGCCCTTCCTCAAGTCTAAAACATATACAAGCACACACACACACACACTTCTAAAGTAATACCCAGAGTCACCAGAAACATTTTGGCCACTCCTACATGTGTAGGGGTTACACACAGATGAAAATCTTGTCTTCTCCTTTATCTGCAGGCCCAGGCTGATAGCTTCCAATCAGGAGTGCTCCCCATTTCTCATTGCCCCAACATACACCTCTTTTCTTTCTAATAAAGGGTGACTTCAAGTATGATATATTTGATACATTGTAAGAACCTTTGTAAATGCTACAATATACCTCATCCACCACAATAATAAAAATAAATAAATTTATTCAGTCATAATAAAAAACCTTTGCCTGAATGTCTGTACTCTCTTTGGTTTGATTTTATTTCTGCTGTCATTGAGTCAGAGTATCCCATGTTCTGGTATCAGAATGACAGAATGGATAAATAGGGAAGTCCCCTATAAAGAGAGGAATTTTGAGCAAAATACAGAATGATATGATGGAGTTAGATATGGGGGAAAGTAAAGGAAGAATAGTTAAGAAAACTCTGAGATAATTATAAACTGTTCTAAGAACAGCAGGAGAATCAGTGTGTCTGCTGAAAAAGATAGCAAGGAACTATACAAATTGATGAATTAAGATCAAGATAAGAGTGCTAGACACAGCTGACATTTCAGTCAGTATCAGCAGAGACAAGGTTCCTTGATGTAAGAATTAGAAACAACCATTCAGAAACAATAATAAGTAATTAGAAACAACCTGAAGAATCTGAGGTCAATCAATGTTAATCTAAGTTCATAATGCTGAACTTTGCAGTTTATCCAAACCAGAGCTGGAAGAAAATGGGAGGAGTTGGAATTTCAGCTTCCTCTGAGAATCCTGAAGCCTAAACTCCTCAAATGAAGCAGTTAAAAAATAAAACGATGCAATAATTGTAGCAGGATGTGGAGCTACAGTCAAGCACGGAATAACAGTACTCAGGCAGTACTCAGGCAGGGAATGTGAAACTGATCTTGTGTGTACACTCACGAACTTATTCATTATTGAACACTTACCTATTGAGTTTTGCAAAAATTATAGGGAATAAATTGGAAAGCTTATATAGCAGTCCCTCAAGGAATTTATAGTCAGTCTAGTGGAATACCTGAACTATTTTATCATTTAAGATGATCTACAAATTGAACTTGGAAGGTCAGAGTGAAATCATCCAGGTGAAATTGAAGAAAAAAAATAGCATTCTAAGCAAAGAAGTCTTTTGTGAAAAAGTCAAAGACAACAAAGATCCTTATTTATTGAAAAACTATAAGGAATGCTTGTCAAGAATTAGTCAAGATTGGGGCTGCACCTCAGTGCTAGAGTGCTTGTCTAGTTTATATTTTATTGGATTCAGTCCTCAGTACTTCAAGAACAATGCCCAAGAACCACTCAAATGGTAGACTGAGTGGTGGATGGTGTCTTGAGGTACAGCCAGGAATACACAGAAATCAGAGCACGCAGTGAATATGGATTTAGTAAATCACTCAGCTAACATCCATTGAGTACCTAATTCATACTAGACAGTGTTCTTGGTTTTATGAATAGAGTAGTGGGAAGGATTTTAGTAGGTTATGCAGGCAAAAAAATGAGAAATAAAAATGGACATAGCATCTTAGAGTTTAAAGTGCTATGGAGAAAAATTCAAATAGAAAAGGAGAATAAGCTACATTCAAAAAGATTGTGATTTTATGGGTCAAGGAAAGCCTCACTGAAGAAGTGACATTTCAAGAATGTGAGGAAGAAGCCCCAGGATTTCTTGAGGAAAAGGATTCCAGGTAGAGAGATGAGCATATGGAAGGTCCAAACAGGAATGCGTCTTTTGTTCAGGTGTGTTTAACAATGGCATTGTATTGCGTCCAATCAGATCTTGCCTAAAATCCTAGGCACAGTGGCAATGTTCTGTGCTTCAATTCATGCCTGTGTCTCAGACTCACCTTCAGGACCCCAGCTCAAATCACCAGCTATCCTAACCAGACTTGCCATAAACTCATGACTCCATCATCACACCTCCTGATGTGAGGATGTGAATTCTCTTTAGAGAAGAGACCATATCTTCGTATGTATGCACCACTGTGATTGAGTCTCTGCAATGTCTAGCTTAAACTTTGATTTAACAAATCAGTGATTCTCAAAGTTTACTATGAGTTTTTATGGTGTTTTATGTTTTTAAATGTTTTTATATGTGGTCTCTGAGGTCATAGCTATTCTCATTAATAGAATTAAGATGGCATTTGATTTTGTGATTATTTGATTGTTTTTAAGTCGCCACTTTCATTCTTTCACAAGCAACTGCAAGGTTCAAAGGCTATGGGACATGAAATATCCTAACAGATTGTATACAGAATCACATATGAGATTCTATCAAGATGGAGAATTAAGGTTTTCAAAAATGTTTAAAAATGCTTCCCTTCTCAATAAACTTTAATTTTATTTCACTTTGTTATTATTATTATTATTGCAGTACTGGAGTTATAACTCAGGGTCTCATGCTTGGTATGTACTCATTCTATTACTTGATCCACTCCACTGGCCCTTACTTTGTTATTTTTCAAAAATGAGCTACCTATGTTTCAAAAATGTGTACCTATGTAATATATTTTTGTTATTTTCATTAATTCATAAACACATATTTAACGTTAGTTTTAATTCCTAATATAGTAAATATCCACTTAATATCCAATAAATACAATAAAGAGAAGTTGAGGAAATATATTCACAGCAAGCAGAAAAATGCACCACTCAAAGATTCCAATGTCTTAACCACTGAAAATTATGAATATGTTACCTCACATAGCAAAGGATAATTTACAGGTGTGATTAAAGTTAAAAATTTGGGGAGACGATTTTAGTCTGGATCATCTAGGTAGATCCACTCTAATTATATAGATCCTTAAAAACAGAGAGACTTTTCTGGTCAAAGGAGAATGTGACTGTGGAGGAAAGGTCAGGAAGATGCCATGCTACTGTCTTTGAAGATAGAGGAAAGGATCCATGAGCCAAGGATTGTAGGTGACCTCTAGAAGGTGGGAAAGGCAAGGAAACAGATTCTCTGTTCAGTGCCTCCAGAAAGAAATGCAGGCTTACCAACACTTGATTTAGCCAAGTGAGACTACTGTCAGGACATTTACTGTATTAAGCTACTAAATGCATGATAATTTGTTATGGAACAATGGGAAACTAATCCAGTAATTGCTATCAGAAAACATACTTTTAGCAAAGGTTTAGGTGTAAGTTAAGTAACATCACAATGCATTTATATTGCTTTGCAGAGTGCCAACAGATAAAGCAGCAGAGCAAAAAGGTATTGAATAATAGAAGCCTTTGTGCATGTAGAGACTCACCATTATCTTTTAATGTACTAGACAGATATTGGCAGTAGTTAAACTTGCATTTTAAAAAAACTCTTTCAGTTTATCTGAATGTACAGGATGATTGGAAAATACAGGTTATATTTTAAATATAAATTAAGACAACAGCCTGGAAAATCAACAACTAAAAAAGGATATTAAAGGTAGACTTTAGTAAATGGGGATTTTCACAGTTTGATGACTGGACCTTGTTTAAAATATTTATTTACTTCCATATCTACAGACAAGTATTATCATCTTACAAAAGTGGCAAATGCTACTTTTGTAGTCACAATAAATGAGCATCATGACAATTTTCTGTTTCAAGTTATCTATAGGATAGCTATCTTTGAATATTCAATCATCTGTACCAAATCTTCAAGATAAAACTTGAACTAATAATCTAAACTGACATCTCTGAAAAGTTCTCCTTTTAGACATGGCAAAATCAATATCCTAAAGAGACTGCCTTGATAACTTTAACTCTTTGCCTTCTTTCAACTGACTTTTCAATTGTGTACTCAATTGTATACTTGTGAACTTTCCTGAAAATATTTCTTCTAAACAAGAGAAGAATAAAATATCAATTTTTCCACTAAAATATAAATTTTGCTAAATAGTATCTTGGTACTAAATTCTGTGAACTGTAGAAAACTACAGAGAGTCTGCACTTCATCTTAAAGGCACAGGGAAACACTGTATCATAGAAAATACTAAGTAATAAAATCATAGAGAGTTTAAAATTATTTCTTAGTCTCTTTGTAGAATTTGTGAATTTTCTATAAATTATATGTTTATTTTAAAATAACCAAAATAACAACAAAAATTAAATAATTTTGTTCTTTCTCTGCTCATCCTCAGGGTCATTATTCAATCAGCTTCTTACCTCTCCCATATTCAATCCATGTTGCTCATGGTTCAGACACAGTTTTATTAAAATTAGGTTCATTGTGTTGGGTGTTTGTTTACAGACTCAGTAGGCATTTTAAACCTCCAAGTTTAGAATTTTGATTTCTTTTCTAGGTACTCATAAATCCAGTTCAGTCACTTCATCCAAAAATGTCATTCAATATTTGCAAATTATATTCTCTATTTTTTCAAAATCCTCATCCTCCAAAGCTACCATGTGCTGTGCTATTTTTCCCTTCCTTGATGCACATATTATACAATGTAGCAATATTGTTAACAAATGCTATTTGAAAAATAGTTTATCAATTCAAATTTTGTCTATTCTTTAAAGAACTCTGATCTAACTGCCCCATCACACAAGAGTTTTATTTCAACTTTTCTTACAATGATAATTTATCCTCTATGAATCATTTCATTTATCTCCCAATTATCTTTTTCTGTCCTAAACAGGATAGAAGTTGCATTCCCAACTTTATTGTAAATTCTGCACTACATAGTACAGAAGGACTCCAATCCCATTGAACACATAGCAGTACCATTAAGTACTTACTGTTGATTATTTGTTACTTACATATTCGAATTCTTATCTCACATATATGTTAAGTAACTTCCCCAAAACCTTCTCCTGAATTTGTCTAGTCTTTACACAGTATACAATGGGGTTCATCAGGGTGGCACCAATAAGAATGTATCTGCAATAAGGATGACAAGTAAGGGGCTTTTGTGCTTGGTAAAGTGGTGTATGGCAGAGAGAGTGATGATAGGCACATAGAAGATGAGCACAGCACAGATGTGGGAGACACAGGTATTTAGGGCCTTCAGTCTCTCTGCCAGAGATGCAATGCTGAGTATAGTCTTCAAGATCAACACATAAGACACAGCAATCAATGTGAAGTCCAGCATAGTACAGAGAGCAACAAAGAAGCCATAGATGAAATTGATCTTGTTGTCAGAGCAGGCCAGCTTCATGATATCCTGATGAAGGCAGTATGAGTGAGAAAGAAGATTCTTTTGACAATATTTTAATCTCCGGAGAGTGAAGGGGAATGGAAGTACTAAAATAATGCTCCTAGTAGCTAATATTACTCCAATCTTAACAACTCTGCTGCTAGTAAGAATAGAACTATATCTTAGAGGGTTGTGAATAGCAAGAAAGCGGTCCAAAGACATAACTAGAAGCACAGAGGATTCCATGACAGTAAATCCATGAATAAAGAATTCTTGAGCAAAGCAGGCATTGGGTGAAATTCCCATGACACTGAATGAGAAGATCCTCAGCATGGTAGGAAGGGAAGAGAGGGACAAGCCCATATCAGAAACAGCCAACATGGCAAGGAAATAATACATGGGCTCATGAAGTGAGGGCTCTGTCTTTATGATAAAGAGAATGGTGCAGTTGCCTAGGATAGCAGCTATATACATGAGGCAGATTGGGATGGAGATCCATGTGTGGACATGGTCCAGTCCTGGGATACCAATCAGAAGAAAAACCTCAGAGTTGTTAAAGACAGACATGGGTGGAAGTGTGAGCTCTTTAGCCAAATCTGAAACCACATGAACACAAAGCAGTCATACTTTTGGATAAAACTTGAAGTTCTTTTTTTTGCTCCTTAAACTTACCAGAACCAGGTACTCAATTCCCTAAAAGATAAGAACAAGAATGCTCTACTTTGACCTCCACTTTGTCTACATGTACTACTTCTGTTTTCCTCAGACATGTAGACCTCTGGGAATTAAAAAAAAAAAAAATACTTCTGGCATCTCCCAGTAAGCTTAATAAAAAGGATTGGGCCTGGAGGGACTGGTGCATTAACTTCTTGTTACCCAGGTACTCAATAGGAGCTAAAAACAAATTATGGAGAAAAACAAATTGAAATGTGACATACATGTTAAAATGATGGATTAAATTTAATCAAAATATTTAAGTTCAAATTCCAATTATCCACAAAATGTAGGTAGTAATATACAAGCATAAAATACTTCTGAAAGCCCTTTATGACTCCAAAATTCCATTTATTTCTATGATCTACTTTTATCAAATATCATTAGACAAATATTGAAATAGACCTGAATTGCCACCCTCAGCTAGATATTTCAAAATCACATGCTTCTTACATTATATATTACTTTCAATAAAAGATTTTAGAGGGTTATCTTTGCATTTCAGTCATAATTTCTGTATCATTCCTACATAGTGGCTAAAGTTAAATAAGTTACCCAAGGTTATGAAGCAATAAATGATAATTTCAGAAAAATAAGATATATATTTATAAATTAAAAACATATAGACATAATGTTATTTTAAATACTTTGTTAAAAGTACATTCTTAACTTGAAAAGAGAATGTTTGAGCCAAATAATGCAATGGAGTCTGACACTAATAATAAACAGAATAATGAATAAAACTTTTAAAAGATAAAATGAGACTCAAATACAAGATACACATCTCTGTGAGTAAGAAAAGGAACCAACATGCCTGAAACCCCAGGTATTCAATAGTAGGAAGATCAGATCATCGTCCAAGTTGGTCCTGGGGCAGAAAAGGGTTAGGGCATGGCTCAAGTGGTAAAGAAACTGCTTAGCAAGCACAAGTCTTTGAGTTCAAACCCCAGTACCACCAAAAAACCAACCAAGCAAACAAACAAAAAAACCCAAGCTTAAAAACATTGAGCGATAAGCAGTGTTGAGCCCACCTTGGATTCCTTATCTGGGGAATATAATCTACTCCCATTGGATAAATGAGATTAAGCATTTTACATGTGAGATGAAGTTATCAGAACTAAACTAATTTACTAAAAATTATTAAACTTTTTACAGAATGCTTTTTTTACACACCTTTCAGTCTTGAGACTTTATATCTTGTTATAAGCTAGTATGTCTTCCAACTGGCCAATATCTGCATTTCTTTAAGTTAGGGCTGTCAAGGGCAGCAGTCTTTTACATCATAGGTTCTGCTTCTAGAGAACCCAGCATATGACAGGTATACCAGAAGTGATCCTAGGAAAGAGATTCCAGGAGAAATTTCTTAGAGGGGTTAACTACTGGCTGTGACATGGGGTAGAAAGGTAGGCAGGGAATAATAACAACACAAGAGAGCCAGGGATAGATGCAATGCCCTATCTGATATATTTTGCCAAACATCCTGCTCCATCATTTTCCTGGAGTAAAGGTTGATTACAGTTGAGACTACTCATTGATATAGTGGCAACAGTCCCCAGCAACAACCCTAACAGGGACTTTCCCAACTCTAGAGCTATTTCATGGGTAGGCAACTTGGTATGCTGAAAACAAACTGTACACATGTTATTGATCCTTTATGTTGTGACTTTGCAAGATAATAGTGAGGAGAAATAATTCTAACAGCAGATCTTCCTTTGATGAACCTTATCATCTTTATGGTACAATAGGTGGCCTGATATAAAAATATACACAAGTAGTGAATAACTTGGCTGATTGAACCCAGTGCTTGAAAGAGAAAGAAAAAGATTGAAATATTAGAGGCAAGGAGAAGCATATTGCAAATCAGTGTTCATCAAAGCCCATACATCATGAAAAAGACCTAAACTGAAGTACGCAGCATAGATCAGCTAATGTCTAACATAAGGTTAGATATTATGTTAGGAACAATTGGTTCCTAAATGAAGCAGCCATGGTAGCAGAGATAGATGCTCTTCATGGACCCAAAGCATAGTGTCCCAATCAACAAGGATGACTAGTCTCTGTAAATATAAATATAAATATAAAATTGTAAGTGTCAGAAACAAATTCTAATAGCCCAATATAGCATTGCTCCCTAAGTAGAGAATGGCCACTTGACAAAACATTTTATCAGGGAAGAGATGTAACTGGGACTCAAAAGGGAAAACTTTTGGTTGTAGTCAGCTTGCATGCTGTCCAGCTTACTCTGCTTATTAATTAAACTTGCATCTTTCCCCTCTGGAGAATCCAAGGTTAATTCTCTTTACTCTTAAATTTAACCAGGCATTCTTCTAGCCCTTATCTCTCTCTGACCACCATACCAGTAAACCTGTCATCCAAGACACACGGCCTCAGAGATGTGACTCCCGATACCTGCAGAATCAAGGCCAGCAGCCATGGTGATCACATGGCTCCTCGAGTAGTAAAACTGAGCCCCTGACCTGCCCTTTAAATGGCAGACATTTTCTCTCAGAAGGGGAACGACAGAGCTTTGAAAGTTTGACTCTCCCTGTCCTCCTCTTTATCTGACCTGACAAATAATAAACCTTATTTCCTTTCCCTCAAAACTCTGCTCTCATTATTTGTAAATTGTTAATTAGCACTGAGGCCAGGGGACCGGTTTTCTGGTAAAAGGGACAGCAAACAACTTGACAGGAATTAAAATATATGAAGGGTATGTTACTATCCTAGTATCTCAGGGCTTAAGAGGCTTTACTCCACCAGCACGGGGCCTTATGTTGCACCATGTCATACAAAAGGACACGCTCTGGCACAAATAGTTTCACGTGGACACCTGGTCATGATCCTACCACATGCTGTTTCACTCCAAAATATCCAATCTGGTATAGAAATAGAACAGATGCAGCTGAGTCTCCTCCATAGAGATGATATCCTGAGAGGAGAAGATAACATACTCCACATGCATGCAAGAGATTAAAAATAACCATATGGAGCCATGAGTCCAATAATTGCAATATGTGTATTTAAAAACATAGGTGTAAAAGTGAAAGCATCCCTATTTACATTACCTTCGGTCACCTACTCGAGAATTGTTGCTTTCCGCTTCTGAAATGTAGAGTGTGTTAGACTGAAGGTCTTCATTTCCAGAATGGGAAGCATAGTAAGGGTACGATTAAAATTGAAGTTATAGCTCTTACCTATTAACTTTGATTTCCTCCAAGCTGAGAGACCAGATATCAAAGAAAAAAATCATTAACATGAGAGAAGTAATCAATACCTGATGATCAGGAAAAAGTAGGGCTGAAAATAAAAGCTAGAAAAATGAAAGGATGTGTTCGGTACCTAGGCATTAGTCTAGCTGTTTACTTGTCCTCCTTTGACAAATGGTGATAAATTAATAAGTGAAATAACCAGGTCCTAAGGAGAATATTGTGTTCAGATGTTTATATACTACCATGAAAGATGCTTAGAAGGTAAATCATAAGTCTTTGCCAGAATTGAATTTAGAATGGATAGTAGAGATGAAGGATGAAAAGGTTGCTTGAGGCTTCAACAACCTCCGATGGTGTCAGTTTCAAATCATTCAATAGTTTTCCATATTGACATTTTCAGGCAAATATAATAATCCAAACACTAGAGAATTTGTTCCCAGATGGGTTAACATGATATATGGGCCATTAGAAGTGAGAGGTACACAGTGGATTGCAATAAAATGCATTATATTAATCAGGCAGGAGGAGCCTTCAGTGCAAATATCATAGCACACATGTCCCCAAATGTGGAAGATAAATAAGGTAAGAACGCACACAAAAATCCAAGGCCCACATCTGTGAATCTTCTAGGCATCTTATGAATCTCTCAGTCAGTGATGTTTCAGAACTGAGACACCAGAACCCAGCTTCCAGGAATTCTAGCTGCTTTTAGAAATCAGATAAACCTTTGGACTCTTGTAATCCACATAAAGATTGACACTGGTGGGCAATCTCACTAGGTGATGCTGGGGCACAAAGACCTTGCCTCTTTGCTTCAACGTTTCTAACACAGATAGAAATATATACTTTATAATAATTATGTATAGAATAAAAATGAGTTAAATGGATGTATACTATAAAAAATTTCTTGCCAGGCACAATGACGCAAGCCTGTAATCCTAGCTACTCAGGAAGCCTTGGAGATTGGGAGGATCATTGTTTAAGGCTAGTCCCAGCAAAAAGTTTGTGAGACCCCATCTCAACCAATGGTGGGTGTAGTGGCTTGTGTCTCTCATTCCAGCTATGCAGGAAAGCACAAATAGGAGGATTGCAGTCCAAGCTGGCCTGGACATTGAGACTCTATCTCAAAAATAACCAATGTAAAACGGTCTGGCAGAGTGGCTCATGTGGTGGAAGCCCTGAATTTAAACCATGTACCACCAAAATAAAACAGCTTCTTGAGTGACACATGGGGCAGTAGAATACTAATTTATGGTGGACTATAATAAATTAAGGGTACTTGCCATAACCCAAGGAATACCTATTTTAAAAATTATAAATAAGTATCACCAAGAATCAAGTCAAAGAAATACAATGGAATACTAGAACATGCTTGATTTTATTTGCATATTCTAAGGATGTAAGAAAAGCTATTGCAAAGAAGAAAAAAATGAGACAGTCATAAAACCAAATGTGTCAATAAAAATATTAAATATAAATTGGATAATGTCCCCAATTACAAAACAACATTTATCACACTGGATTAAAAATATATAATGACTGCAAAAATTACAGTTGAAATATGAATGAACAGGTTAAAAGTAAACAAATGAACACCTATGTATGTGGTCAATGTGTCCATGTTACTCTAAGAACATGACATGGAAAGTATTACCAAGAAAGACAAGAGAGAG